ACAATACTTGTTAAAGCAATAACAGCGCTTAACTAAACTTGGTAACATAATTAAACTTATAGCTTGCTTATTCGCAACTCGCTTCTCTGCTTACTTTACTTGTAGCTTGCTGACTTGTAACTCACTCACCTCGTGGTGTCGGCGCCCTTATATACCTGCGCTGGCACTTATGGCAACTCTAGAACATTCTGAAGTTTATCGCTCATTCTCTTTCTCTCGCTGTTCGCAGTGTTCATCCAACTTGACGTTTCTCTTTGTGGAACATTCTACGTCATTCTGCCTATTTCTCGTTGTTCGCTTTGTGTTTCCGCAGTATTCGCCACAGTATGCTCACATTCAACAATTGCACCAAGATGACGTCACGCACACAGCTCATTCTGTCAAAATCACAAAGAGCGGATTAGCGGTACCGCGATTGGGGCAATCTCTATTTCTCTCAATCGTGGGATGACATGATACGCAACTCTCTTACAGGGCTGCCAGACGCTTAGTCTAAAATGCGTACACGGACAAAAGGTGGTGGGTGAAAAATCCATACAAAATCCGTACGCTCAAATTAGTTTGGCGAGCAAAAAAAAATCTAAGTGGTGAACACAGAAATCGTACTTTAAATAACATCAAATAAGGCAACACATATTTCCACTAGTCCTATTCAGTGTTGCCATTTTAGCCGTTTTCCGGCTAGATTTAGCCGGTTGCGATAGCAAACAGCCGGAGAAATTTCGATTTAGCCGGCAGCCGATTTGTTAGCCGTTTTGCAGAAAAAGTTAGCCGTTTTTAGCCGATTTTGCTATTTACCTTGTTTTCTTAAATTTCAAATATGTATATATGTTTCCATTTTTGACTAAGCGACCCAAAATCTGTTAGAAATGGCCTTATCGCGGACAAAACTTTCATGTCAGGCAGGGTTGTATGAAATTGGGCCGATTTCGCTTATTAATATTTTAAACGAAGAACGGATTTTCTTCATAACATGTTTGTTGTAAATGCCTTAATTTTAAGTGTGAAGTTTTATTCGCAAACTTAGAAAATAAGAAATTGTTTCACTGTTAAGACACTTAAGGTGCGTTTGTGTTTGGATATAGTGCCAATAAACAGAATAAATATTACATGTAGATATTGTCTTCCCAGATAGCCCATATTCAATTCTGCCTAAATTACAAAACATTATTTTTGCCCACTCCCAAAGGTTTATGGTAAGGGAAAAATTGATATTTTCAACACTATGTACACATATGTATTTTTTAAACAAACTTTTTTGCTGAGAACTTATTTACATTTCAAAAACCGAATGCCAACTTGAATTAAAGGAACCAACACTGAAGTGAGTCAAATTGAAAATAAAAGAGCACGAATTTCTATGTAAAGCAAAACTCTCTGGGAATCCTACGAGACATCTGCTGGTCATATGACCGGCCATCCAAATGGGAGGTCTGCAGTCTTTTGGCATCATATTTTACATCAGAATTGAAGGGATTTCTGAAAAATCTGACCAGCTCTTTTGTGTAACTGTGATTTTGCATCCCTTGTCAATATATGGCCTCGGTTGATGTTAACTTTAGGTCGTTGTTTTAATGCCTTAAAATTGAAAGGAAAATTTTACAGCGTTTTTTATGTGTGTTGGTTTCTATTTGAGTGTATTGAGAATCGGTCAGTCTGAAAAGGCCTTGTAGGGAAGACAATAGGTTTGTTCGTCGAAAATCCAGCGAGAATAATCACTCAAAATATCAGATAGTAAGGAAAAATGCTCCCAAATTCTCTCTCATGTAGAGAAACTTGCAATTTTCTGTACGAACGCAAATTTGAAAGTTTTTCTGCCAGCTAGTGTCCACGGTTGCATTTCAAACAAAAGAAATTTGTATAGAATTTTTAAAATTCTTTCAGAGGGGCAAAAAAAAGGGTCTACGGGTATATATCTTGTCAGTCCGACTTTCTTCAACATACGTTTCAATTTCTTTGTCGGTCGGACTGTGGTTGAGATTGCATTCCGATTAAGAATACAGTTTTTTTTTTGCCGAGTACCTTTCAAATCAATGGAATTAACTAAATTAATCAAGTAAACAAGTATTAACTTACATTTTTCATTTTAAAATCGCTCCAGTTTATAAATTTTTAAATTTAACGAACTAGTTTATTAAAATTATCGTCGATAAAAAATCCAACCATGTGCCACAATCATATGTTCTAATTGCAAATTCTTGCTGGCAAAATATTTTCCGGCTCGAATTTGTTTCTTCTTTCCAAGAAATAGTATTTTTACTCGTGATTTATTTAAATAAAGTATGTGAAATTTAGTTGAAACATTTTAGCCGTTTTTAGCCGGTTTTATTTGCCAATTTAGCCGGTTCGTCCAAAAAGTTCTGGCAACACTGGTCCTATTTGTTGATTGCTTCACAGATCTTATAATTTTTCTGACTAGAACTTTTTAACAAACAGTGTGTTCTTAGTTTATGTACATGTAACAAAACTTTTCAGGTAGATGGTCGACCCCACCGAGTAACAGTATAATGTTTAAAGCGATGGTTAAAGTTGAAAAAATAAAGAAAATTAGAGTTTTTTTTTAATTTTAACTGACAAAAACTTCCAACAATCGAAGTCTACCAATATATTGTTAAGGCTGGCTTTCATTAGGTAAAAATCACTGACATCAAAAACTACCTTCATCTGACAGCTGTTCAATTGATGTCAAATGCGTTTTCATTACATTTTAAAAACTGACCAAATGTCGATACCGCTGTGCATGTCAAAGACTGTCGTCAAATTTCGGTGTCAGTGATTGACATTCCGTTTTCATTACTGATGTCAAATGTGTTGTTAAATTTTTACAAAAAGTATAGAATACCGACCTTTTAGCTATAGACAAATCAAAAATGTAATTCATGTTGGTAAAAATCGAAATTGTATATATATTTTCTTTAAATAGCGTTTAACAAAAATTTATTTTAAAAATGGTTACAATAAATACGTCCTAAAAAGCTATTAAAATTATTTTTGAATTGGCATCAATACTTTTCTAATCAGTCAAGTAGTTTCCGAGATATTAAACATATAAAAAATAAGAAAGTTGAAGTTTAACCTGTTATGTTTTCTTTGTTTTTTACTTGTAGCTAGAATCAGCTGTTCCCATGGCAAACGAAATAAAAATTGCCAACATGTTGGCAAATACATTTTGATTGTCAAATGCTGCCACATCAGCGGCGAGGGCCGTTTTCATTTGGATGTAGTTTTGTATGACCGTGCGTGGGATATATGACAACAAACGCAAATGACACCAAATGACAACCCGTTTTCATTATAATGACAACATTTGACGTCAAATATGAGCTAATGAAAACCAGGCTTTATTCGTAATTTTAAAGCCCTATAACTCCTCTTCTCATGTTTGATTTTTAAAATCGGGTTGAAAATAGTCAAGCTCTTAATAGATAAGTCCCTCAAGTACGAAAATAACGCATTTTTTAATAAAAGTTGGGGTTCAGGAACTATAAGAAAGCTATGAGATATGTGTAAAACAGGCAAATTTTTACAATATGAAAGAACACTCCAGAAATCCGTACATCTTGACGGAAAGCTAAAAATCTGTACGTTGAATCCGTACAACCATTTTCTCCTCTGTAAATCCGCACCGTACGGAAAAGTCTGTACATCTGGCAGGGCTGCTCTCATTTTGCTTCCGAGAGCAGCATTAAGCTTCTAACTTAAACTCGTTTGCTTACTTGGCAGCACTGTCAAATAAAGTTGGACTGAACAGCTGACAAGCAAAAAATAGCGAGCTGCCACTAGGTACGCCCAAAACGCACCGATTTAATTTCAATGGATTTCCTGAAATCACATTACAAAATCTGGCTTAAAGATAGCGTTTTGAAGAAAATGTATTTTAAATGGTAATTTTTAAAATTAAATAATTAAGAAGACAGTAAATTTCCAAAACATTTGCTTGTTTTGTTGAATAAAAAAGTTCACCAAAATTTAGTCAAGCAATCTCCCAATATCTATTTCACTGCAGGGGCAATATTGGATGTTATAAACTGCACTTTTTCACAGCGCTCGCACACGAGAAAGAGTTGTGTATCATGTTATCTTTGTCAATCATGATTCTGGTAATAGATTATTTCCAGTATGCAACGCGGGATCCCTCGGGTGCCAAAAATAGCCCAGAAATAATTCCCTTACACAAAAAAAGGGTAATAGAGAGCGAAAATTGGAACGTATTGGCTTCTAAGTGTCTTCACGTTCCTGCCCGAAACGGTCCGGACTTTTTCTGTGGTTTTTTGCGTTCCCGTACTCATGGACTTCGTTAAATTTTTTATAGAAAATTTTTGGCTTATTCTCCAATTTCCGGGTCCGGTCCGGGTTGTACGGGAAAGAACCTAATTAAAGGTTCTGACAGTTGACTCTCTCGCACCACCACCAACCAGCGTTGCGGTTTTGATACAATTTGTTATTCAAAGTCTTAAAATTTATATATAGATATTTATAAATTTGATTTGGTAACTCGTATAAGGGAAATACAACCCGGAATTGCTTTGCATTCGCCGCTGTTATGGGCTGTTTTTGCTTACGCGTAAAAGCACAGTTAGCGCATTTAGCTCTAAATGCTACTCTTAATTTACATTTATCCATACAAATTTCGTCACCTAAATGCAACTCCGTCTCTGCATTAAGGGTCTAAATGCTAAAAGCAACCCTGTGATCTCCAAAAATGTCCACGATTCGAACATGGTTTCATGAGAAAAAGTAGCAAGTGGTCGCCGATCGGGATTTCATTTTTTTTTTTTTTTGTGAATTAAGGTAACAATATGTATATATGTGCATATATATATATCTGTGTTGGTTTGGAATAGTAGCTTATGTCGGGAAGCGGGCTTTAGTATAATGCGGCATACCCTCTATTCTCTAAGAGCCAGTTTTTCAGTGCACGGACGTGGTTTAAACTAATAGCGTTTTCTTTTCTCGAAATAAAGTTGCATTTATTCTACCCTGCGCCAGGACTATTAAGTTTCAGCATCTTCGCATGCATATTGCGTGCTCTTTCCTTAAAATGTTGCACTCTGATAATGTTGCCATATAAGCGGTGACATTTTTTTCGAAAAAAGAAAACGCTATAAGTTTAAACGCCCGATCTGGCTGATTTAAACTAAGATCAGCCAATCAAATGTCAACCAGCTGTTCAATTTAATATAGTTTACTTAATCTAAGTTTGAACTGGCACTGAAGAACTGGCCCTAAATGACAAGGAATTTTTAGATGAGACTTAATAGGAATATTGTCTTGCTGGTATCGAAACTATTTCTTGCACGTTTATTTGCCAAAAACTCCTCAACAGATCGGCGCCAGTGAGTCATTCGCAATCGTATGCCTTTCGATATAAGCTACTATTCCATACGAACACAGATATACACACATGTGTATAGCTTGATGTTAGATAACTTTTCTTGAGGTTTTGTTGAAACAATTTTTTATGAGTGGCAACCATGTGCGGAATTTAAGTTTTTGCCAAAAAATTCCTTATCAAGTAGACTTTTTGGAATATATGACAAGTAATTTTTAAGCAAAAAACAAAACCCACTTCAATTCTCATATACAAATTTTCGGATTTAAACCAAACTAGTATAAGGTAACACCTTTCCTTAAAAAAAAAATTATAGAAATCGGTTAACGTGGTCCAAAATTATGCGGTAACATAGATTTCAAAAAAAAAAAAAAAATATTCCGACGAATTGATAACCTTGTGCTTTTTGTGAAGTCGGTTAAAAATAGAAGTTTACAGTAACAATCGTTATCGCAAATTCTTGACAATTGCAATTCACTTCCGAGTGAATTTCAACCCCTGTGGGATTGGCTGTACAATTTAGTTGCGAGAATCGATTTTGTAATCCATCTCAATTAGTATACACTACTTCTTTTCAATTAATTAACTAGTGAAAGTTTGATTATTTGATTCATTTTGATTAATTTAGTTGTTTATTTAACTAATCATTTCTAAATTTATTTAAGCCGACTTCTTCTTGAAACCCAATGCATAGACCATTTGGATTATGCCTGCAAGTCCTATGCCGCAAAGCCCAACCGTCAAACCAAACAATACTTTGTCTACTGGTCCTCCCTTTAAGAAAACTGGAAGATCGTTATGAGCCTAGAAATAATTATTAGTTAATAAATTTAGTCTCAGATTTTATATTCTGAAATATTACTTGAAATTTCTTCATGCTATTTGCAAGTCCATCCGGCAATGCCATTTTTGTTTCGTAAATAATTGCGTAAGTAATCCTAAAATAAATAATAAAATCAAACGCAAAATATATCTTTGAAGCACTGAGCGTTATACGTTTTTGAAAATTATTTTCGTTATTTTCTAACTCTTTAGTACAATTTCAGACCTACCAAGGAAATTTGTATCTACTTATATATGCAGCTACTTTCGCAAGATGCAGAATGTATGTACGCGAATGATGGAAGAGATATCCATATGTAAAATTAGATTTTGGCATGCATACATGCACACTCACTATGTGCATATCGCACACTATCTTCAAGAGTGGCATAACTCAAAAAAAAGGTTGATTTTCTGGCATAAATCAATTCTTAGAGTTTATCTCTAGTTAATGCAAATATTTTTTTCTTCATGATTATGATCTCTAACTAGAAAACTACTGTTATACCTTATTTTGTATTAATTATGTTGAATCTGTACGATCCATAAGCAGTTATATTTTCGAGTCTGATTTTTGAGTTGTGTCTCTTTTGAAGATTGTGTGCGATATGTATGTATGTGCATATAGTGTGAACTGATTACTCGGTTTTTCTTAATTGTCCTAATTCAATGCAACTATTTGCAACCGAAACTACCAAACTAAAGGTGCGGTGAGACGTGGTAATGCAATCGCTTTTTCTGTGCATTTTGCTGTCAAAATGCAAAATTGAAAGTCTACTTTTCCGTGTACGGAGCCAGAAAGTCCTTTTTGCAGATTTGCAGAAATCACTTCGGAAATAAAAATTGCAAGGTGTATCTGCAACTGAAATTATGCATATAACTTTCGAGAAATAATTGCAACTTCTCGTGCTGTACAATGCGTGTCCCTTTTTTTCTCACAAATAAAAATATTTTGGTAGCGTTTATGAATTTCCAAATAGAGTGTTTTTTTTTGAACCATTGAACATTTTCTACAGACTAGAATCGGAAGTAGTGCTTAAATTTTCTGGGCTTGGGATACGTTTAATATTTTCTAAGAATTTTTTTTTTATTTTGACTCAGCTCTTTTCCTTAATTATTTTTCTTCAATAACAGCGCTATTTGGCCCTACCCATATATGTCAAATCAAAACGAGAAAGTCTAGTACCGTTTTTGTGAATGTATTAGCTCTGATCCAACACTTTTCGTGAAAAATCCTGTAAAACTGTCAAACAGCAAAACTACTCTCTGTAGTGAGAGTAAAAAGTGAGTAACAACAAGAAGTACGGGAACAAAAAAACATTTTTCCTGTAAAAACGTCAACCAGTAATTGCTTGACACTTTTCATGATTTTACCAGAAGAAAAAGTTCGGGTAAAATCTTGCAACTTCATTCTCTCTCATTTACAGGATTTTGGAGGATTTCGGAGTACGGGAACATTTTTCCTGCAACTTCCTGCAAGTTCGTGTAAAATCCTGTAAGTTCATGGAGCGAGATTTTCCAGCATGTGAAGACGGCCGGTTACCGAAGATTTTGTGGCCGGAAAATTGTATTACCAAAAAATGTTACCACTTCTTGTCACCGCGATTCTAGGTACGTTGGTAATGCAGTGAAAATATTCAGCAGTTCAGCTATGGAGATTTGTGGAAATTCTTGTGTTGCATATTTCAAGGGGAAATATTTTGTTACCAGCTCATGAGATGGTAACCGAATTTACCGGTTACAAGAGCGCACAGAATTCGAAAAAGGTTTAAAAATTGACAGACACTTTAATTACCGGTTACAAAATTTATGTTACCAGCGCAGAATAGACCTGTAAATGGAAAATGATTTTTTATTTGTTGTAAGTTTTTATATAAAATTCAAAAAATTTAAATCATTTTTAATTTAAAAAGCTTTCGTGAAATTGGCTGTTGGACATTTTATGACTGTTTCGTGCACACTTTAGCAGGTTTAGTAAATTTTTCAGGTCATTAATTTTGTTATAAGCATAAAAATGTACGGTAACATAACTGAAAGTGAACTTGTCTGCATTCGCCGTGTAAACAGACAAAAAGTAGTATCGGAAAGTTTGATTTTCAGAAATAAAAACTGCCTTCGAAAGCCACTTTACATGCAAGATGTAACTGCTCTGTTTAGGAAACTCTTGACTTGACAGACTTTTGAAAAGGACATGCACTTGCCACGTCTAACAGCTACTTTACTTTGGAAAACATTATGGGACGGTTTCACATACAAACTGAAGTCGAGTAATATCGTCACCTGGGTAAAAGATTGTCGAATGTTACCTTCGGCAGGGTTTGGGAAATCGATGTTAAACAATCAGTCACAATTTCTCAAATCTGTACAGTTGTTTCTTACCAAAATTTAATGCTTGATTGTACATACTATTTAAAGTATAAAACTACGTTGTCTTTAATTTTCAGTAACTGATATAGCTTTTACAGCCCTCTTTTTATAAAATCATTTTGTCGTATGTTACATTTTCACGTTAAACGCTAGCCAGCTGTATGGCATACTACAAATAACGCACACAGCAAGTAGGCATACGGCTGAAATTGTTGAAATTATTTTTTGCTTGTACGCAAAAATTTGATTTTAATACACCTGAGTTTTAAACTAATGAACAAAAATCAACAAAATATTAAACAATTTTTCAATAAGAGTTGCCGCAGCACAAACGACTATCTATTGTAAGGGTGTGATTTTGTCGTACGTACCATACTATTAGTCACATAAGACAATAATTTAACAAGTAATCAATTTCATCAAACTGTATGAAAATTTTTTCCTATGAGACATTTTTCGTTACATACAACAAAATGTTGATAGAAATTGCGCTTACGACTATCTCTTGGATCGTAAATTTCTTCTTCTTCGTGCATGAAACAGCCCGGACTTATTTTCCGGGCAGAAATGAGCAAGAAGTTAATTTGATATAACAGCCGTTATTTGTTTACATCCAATAGTTAGGGGATTCCCTTAAGCTCGAAAGTGGCTCGAAAACCACGAAACCTCGAAACTTTTCCAGCCTCGAAAAACAACTGTCAAAAAATTGTATGAGTGGCGATTTTCGCGTGCCTCGAAAACTTTCGAGGCAAATTAGTCGCGAAAAAAGCCTCGAAAAGTCGTTCGTAAGTTTCAGTGTTGCCTTTATAATTGTTGACTGCGTTTTGATCAATAAATTCATACAATTTACATTTTTTCACTTTTTCGTGGCATTTTCAATGCTGATTTTATATGTATTTATTTCAGCTGATGCGATGTATTATGCAGCGTTTTTTGCTGCATTTAAAATGCAACATTTAGCACTTTCGAACATATGTTTTCGAAGAGCGTTCATGCTATCGCATTTAGCAAATGTACATTTACGTGAGTTCGAAATCGTATGCTTTTGACAAACAGCCGTGTTCCAGTCGCTTATTCAGATCCGTATCTATTACGATCAATTCTCACGAAAAAGATAATGTGCAAAAAACCCTACTGAAAAGGAAAAAAAAATTTAAACCAAAAATTCAATACAAAATCTCGAATTGTTTTAACCATAACCGAAAATTTGTTTGTGTATATATTCATTTGTCGGTGATGTCAATTAAAATTTCCTCACTTAATTAGGAAACAAAACGAACAGAGTTGATCACAAATTCATCCAGATTTCTATCAGCATCACATCGATGTTGAATTTGAGTAACTTTTGTTTATCCAAATAATGTAAAATAATAAATGAAATCTCGGTCGGCGATCACTGAAACGCAGCTAGCCACTGTATACGCGAAAAAAGCAATGTTGCCACTTTTTTTTCATTAAACCATGTTCGAATCGTGGAAATTTTGGAAGATCCCAGGGTTGCTTTTAGCATTTAGATTCTTAATGCAAAAAATGGAGTTGCATTTAGTTGCATTTAGGTGACGAATTTTGTATGGATAAATGTACATTTAGAGTAGCATTTAGAGCTAAATGCGCTAAATGTGCTTTTACGCGTAAGCAAAAACAGCCCATTATACAAAAAACTCTGAATGAGCTGTCAAACTTCGGAATTTCTCCATTGTTTACGAGGCTGAAAAAA